GTTGCGCGGGGAAGGGTCGGTGGTTGTTTCGGTGCTGGAGGGCGGGGAAGTCGCGGATTGTTGGCCGGATAGGGTTGGGGCTGTTTTGTAGGGTTGGTCTGGTTGAGAGGTTGAATATGGGGCTTGGGGTTGACTTAATGCACGGTCATACGTTGTCAGGCTACACTATCTCAATCTATGTCCACATAGTTTCTCATATCACCGCCTGTTTATAACGACGTAAGCTCCAATACACCACTCAAGCCAACCCCTCAAAGTCCAAGTCCAAGTCCAACCGCCACACATCGCCCAACCGCTCATTCGACTCAGCCAACCCCCCATGAACAACCACACTTACACCTGACCCACCCCCCTCAAGCACATCCGCAGCAAACCACCCCCTCGCCACCGGCCTGTCTCCGTCCCCCTCCCCCTCCCCCTGAACAAGCACCCACTTCCCCTCTTCCAGATCAAAAACCCAAACATCCCCCAACATCATCCCAGCTCCCTGATGGCCCAGAGAACTGGGATCACACTCCCCGAACATGGTCACCAGAACCCACCGCCCCAGCCCCGTCCTAGCAGCAAGCAAGCACCCCACACTCCTGGCCCCGGGCCCGACCACCCCATCCGCCACAAACCCAACCGTGCTCCACACATCCGCGACGGGATCATAGACATCCACCGCCCCGCCTTGCTCGCGCGTCCCATCGAACCCATTCATCCGGTACACCTTCCCGTCCGCGAAGGCGAGCGAGGCGCCCCCGCGCGCCGGGCCGGGGGCCGGGGCGCACTCGCGCCAGCGGCGGGTGGTCAGGTCGAAGGCCCAGAGGTCGCGGAGGCGGCCGGCGGCCGGACAGCCGGCGTGCAGGTAGATGGTGTCTGTGCCGTTGGTGGTTAGGGCGTGGTAGCTTCGGCCGACGGGGAAGGGGGCGGCCGGGTCGGAGGGGGTCAGCTGCGTCCAGACGCTGTCGGTGGAGTCGAAGACCCAGAGGGCGCCGCGCTCTTCGAGCGGGGCCATGGCGGCGCCGCCGCGGCCCGAGAAGATGTAGAGTTTGTTGGCGAGGGCGGTTGAGGCGGTGCCCACTCGGGGTTGTGGTTGTGGGTGCGCGGTGGAGGTTGGGGTTGGGGTTGGGGTTGGAATTGTTGGGGGTGCTGGTTGGGGTTAGTTCGGGTACTGTATAGCTTGCTGAGTTGATATATGAGTGGGAGCGGCCTACTGGGGCTCACAGCGAGACGGTATACGGTTGAGTCGACGGGTTCGCGGGGCCGCAGCTCGCCGCCGTAGATGTAGGCGTGGTCGCCTAGGATGGTGAGGGTCTGCGATGACCTCTGGATTGAGGTAGAGGTATCGGACAGAAGCTGGGTCCAGGTAGCGCGCATCATGGTGGCTGGATTGAATGTCAGGGGTTATGAAATGATGAGAAAAAGTGTGCCTTGACTCCTGGATGGTGGCCGTGAAGTCGGTTATATAGACGGTGATAAGTTACTTCCTGGGCCGGCTTGTATGCTTGCTCGCTGGATGTGGGTCTGACTGGTGTGTATCGCCGTAATGGTGATACGGGCGTAAAGTATGCCCCGATTGGGTTTAGAGCAGTGGTCTTGGCATTGATCAGTTTCATCGACCATCGTTTTTGATGCACCCTCGATTCTCTTAGTTCATGGAAGCGGGGTTTTCTCCATCCATGTCGTGCCATCCGCGTCGTGTCCGCATACCACGAGATCAATCGGCTGGTTGATGTCCAGCAGCTTCGATTTTGGAATGTCTTCCGGCACGGCCGGCAAAACTAACGTTACCGCCCGTGCTTGGGACCAGTATCGCGAGATATGCGAGATGATGCGCTTGGCGAGATGGGTGGGATAGTGCGAGTGCTCGAAGCCTCGTGTCTTTCGTTCAAGTTCCGGCCATGCAATGCCGAGGATGTAGTCGAACAGCGTATCGGATCGCCATAGGAAGACCAGTTGGAGAAGGCACTCTGCCAGACTGAATGTGTAGACATCCGCCGTGCTTGATGCCCCAAGGTCCAGCCTGCCAATGACCTTGCATGCACTGTACGCCAAATCACCAAGCTTGTTGGAGGTAGCTGAGTTCAGGTCGATGGGCGGGTTATCAGACATGCACGCCCCGTGGGCTTCCTCGAACATCATCTCGCAAAGAATGCAGTATACGGCATTCATCGCATCACGATGGCTAGGATATACCGGTTCATAGGAAGTCAAGGGACACTCCGATAGTTCTTCCGTAGCTGTATCGACAGCTGCAGTGCAGCGTGGTCGCCTGTCATTCACCCGCGACCTCCACACCTCTAGCCGTTCCTTCTGAACCATCAACAAGCCCCGCAAGTGGGAGCCTCGCACAAAACCCTCCTGTGCTTCAACATACTCGTCCGGCGGCGAGCATCTCCCTAGCATCGTGTTCAGCACTCTATGCGCGACACGGCCGATGTCTCTCGACGACTCCTGGATTCGGTGCGTGCCGGCTACCGAGCGAAACACAACCAGCCGCGAGCGTATCTCCATAGACTTGATCAAGATATCATAAATAAGGTCATCTGGACTCATCCCCAATACACAGCTGAGATACAGATGATCGGTGGGGTCTGGAAAGCAGTTCGGGCCGAACGAGCTGATCCCCTCGCCCTCGAGGAGCAGCGAGGGTGGCTTCGACAGTCGATGGGAGACACAGAGCCGATGCCACATCTGCAGGGCCCCGATCCCATCCGGGGAGCGCATGATCTGTTCCCGGCATTGTGCGACAAATCGCAGGGTGTCCCAGACTGCTAGCCGGAAACTGAGATGATTCGTCGAGGCGTGGTGGTAGTAAGCGAGGAGAACGAGGGCCCGCAGAATCGAGGCTGCATTGCGTGCCACTTCGCCTGCAGTCGCGGTGCGGCAGAGTTGAAGTGCGCGGTCATGGTGATTGCGTGCTTGGCGGTGATGGCGGGAATTGACCAGGGGGCTAAACACAGGGATTTGATGATCATCCACGAGGTGACGACTCTGGACCGGTGCGTTGAGCATGGATAGGCTGGAGGCTGAGATGCAGAGAGCGGCAGCACGCAGGTAGGGGGCGTCGAAGATATCCCCCACAGACGTCATTGACAATGCCGGTAGCAGATGGCATACATGATCCTGGAAGTGGCTCAGGTATCGGACCTCAAGGCCGTCCCCAAGATCTAGCGAAGGGGAGAGTCCAGCTGCGGTGAGGTCACTCGAGAGAAGGGGTTTAACCGACGGATCGTATTCACTATGAGCCTTTCTCGACGCAGCGGCGGAATCTGCCGCCGCAGATGACGCGACAATCGCCTGCGTATGTCGCTGGAAGGTTGCTTGATCGGTGTGTCGGAAAGTCAAATTCACCCCGTAACTGCACTCCAGCGATAACCGAACACAGGCGCGGCAGTGAGGTTTGGTTTCATCGCACTGACGCTACATCAGACCGACGGCTCATGGGGCACAATTACAATAGACGAACCTTTTTGCCTCTTCTTCGGCATGACTTGCACCCTGAGTGCTTCCGAGTGATCTTGCTGGAACTTGTCCTAGTCGTCGTCATACCATTGGGGGACATGTTAGGTCCGGAGTTGGCAGCAAAGCTCTGTTTCTATGGCATCTTGCAACCTGGCAGTGGCGTGTGGGGGTGGTAAGATTCGGAGCCAGGAACTTGGGACGTTGCCCTGACCCTCGATTACAGTACTAGGTTACAGTACCAGTACCGCAAGTGCCCCGCCACTTACCCATTTGTGGTGATAAATTACGCATACTGGCCGGCCCCCTTACAATACAACAATACGCGCCTGTGGATACCCATTCCAGTCTGCACCTTGGGATCATATCATCATTCAATCTTGTAAACCGGGGAGGAACATGCCTCGGAAGAATGTTTCTACGACTAGGTGAATCATGCATGAATCACAATTCCTGATCGGGCTGCCGATCGATACGATCTACCAATGCAGTGTCTAGACCATCGGCGGACGTCGCGGGAAGGCGGAGATAATCGGGGCTAAGTGTAGCTAAGCCCCCTTGATCTCAGAGATACGTACTTGAGGATCTGTGCCACACAATCCAAGGGCTGGGTCACTGCCACGTCTCGCCATGACGAGCGTGGTGGACATGCATCATCGAGACAATGGTGAACTCAAATAAGGTCTTTCTTGAGACGAAGCCTGGTTCACTTGCCATTCATCCTCTCAGCATCTTGCGATCAGCCAATGATCGGCCACGAACCTTGACTGCTCTCTTACTCATCGTAGTTACAGCATGGTGAAGCCATGATGACGCCCCAGCCAGCAACAACAGCCACAACACATCTATAAAGTCCGTCAAGTCGGGCTTTCTTCAGTTTCATCATTAACAATCAATTGAACAATCCAAACCTTGTTTGACCAAGCCTATCTTCAACAACAGTTCGACCAATTCCTGCACATATATTTCCCAGTGAACCAGCACATACCACATATCCTTCCATCATGCAGAACGAGTACGGACAGGGCATCTCCCACGCCACCGGTGGCTCCAGAGTCCCCGAGAAAGTCCAGCAGAAAGCTCCCCAAGGACTAGAAGAGTCCTTGCCCAACAAGGTATGGCCGCTATCTCTCCATACGTCTTTCCCCCCTCTAGACTAATGACTGAGATGTTGACTCCAGCTCCATGACACCGGCTCCGGAACTGGTCGCCAGACTCACGCCCTCAACGACGGTGAAGACTCCATTGTCCCCAAGAGCATCCAGAAGGCCGTCCCCGAGAAGCTCGAGCGCGCACTGCCCAACAAGATCCACAACACCGGTGATGAATAGATGATTTTGCATAGCGGAACGTCTTATGACACTGATCTGTGACGATACAGAAGTATTTTTTTGATGGAGAAATGATTTATGTCATGTTGTATTCAATGTTATGAAATATGAAATAATGGAATTCTGATTTGGTTATCCATCGTCTGAATTCATTCTGTGTAAAGAAATGGTTAAGATCTTCGATTTGTATGAAGATCACTTCGATCTTGAAGTATACAGACCCTTTTCGGAAGGTTGACATAGAAGCACCATCGCCATAAACGGGGTGGAATTGCAGCTCAGTCATAGTCTTTGACTAGAGTTGAAAGAGAGCTCACATACCAGTTTGTCGGGGAACACTCCACCCAGTGGGTCCGGCAAATACGGCCACACCATACGTGCCCCCGCCTCCCCCCCCTTGTGGCCATATCACAGGTCAGTAAATGATATGTTCGAACCTTGAAGGGTTTACTCACGTAAACAACGGACATCGTTCGAGTAGTACACTATGACCCAAAATGAGCAGTGCACCGGACAGAGGCCCAGCATTCCCACAGCCAGCAATGGCGCGTCCCATAATAAGAACGACGGAGCTCGGCGCTACGCCAGATGACACTTCCCAGCTCAAAGGTCAACAGCCATGTCAGGAAGACCCATTTGATACTGGATATTGTGTAGGGACTTCCCACGAGGAGTTGCGCGGACGCGGTAGTCAGAAGGTAGGCTGAGATTGGTGTCGGTTTTTCGGCATGAGTATGAAGCAGCTGGGACAAACGTACCACTGCCATACCAGCCTACATCCTCCACCGTGTGGAACTCAGAAGTGACTGCAGGAACCGCTGTGGCCATAATGGAGAAGCTATTAGGGTATATTGTTAGCTCAATCCTTGCAGGAGCGGCGAACTAGAAGTGTACCTACTCGAGGGATACGAGGAAGATTGTCAGACAGATGCCGATGGTGGGTAGCAATAGCTTCCATCCATCTGGGTACTCCTTTTCCTCGACCCGGGGGGGGCTAGCTGCATCGATAGTCGAGGATATTGTGGGCGGACTGCGAGCTGCAAGTGAATGTTGAGTGCAGTTTTAAGAGGGTTGAATAGGCAGTAAGACTACAAAAGCTGGAGAAATAGGTTCACCTTTGTTTTGTTTATGTTCCCATCCCTTCGGGCGACGCGTAACTTAGCTGAACAGCCCTAGAGCCATTCAAGCAACAAAGACAATGTGACACAAGGCTGGCCGATCTTAGGGCAAGGTTACAAACATCAGCGAGGGGGTTGACTTCAAAACCGGTCAGCGACTCACTGTCGTTCACTTTTCCTAACAGCACTCGACGGAACTCGCGTATTTCAATGGAGTGATGATTGGATATGAATCACCCTGTTCCGCCTCGCTTGCGTTCAGGGAGGAGCATCACTAGCAAACACGGCTGTCTGGCTTCAATAGTGACCCAAAGACAAGATCCCGGTAAGGTCTTCACAGTGCACCGAAAATGTAATTGCTTTGAAGCAGCCCTGAAGTTAGTTTAGCTAGTAAGTTTTTCTGGTGTCGTTGGCAGATCTCAAGGAAAGTTGCCTAGGATCCGTGGTTTTGTGGACACACTCTACATTCTCTTCTGATTTTACTCGAGCGCCGGAGATGTATCACCCTCGGCTCCCTCTGGTCGGATGAATAGGCCACTAAGCCAACACCATGTCAGAATTGAGCATAGTTCGAGTCTATATAGACGGGCAGATTTATCACTTACCTCTCCGTCCAAAGTAGTGTACGAGGTTCGTGGAGGCTGTGACGCCCAGATGAGATGATGCTGTCAAGCATTACAAGCATCAGCCACAGCATTGTGGCTCAAAGCCTTATCAGTTCAGATAATGGTTGCCTATCTTGGGACGGAGTAAAATCAGCGAATAAGCAAAGCATCCTCAAGCCACTCGGAGTAGATTGATCTTCGACGCTGCTTTCACTGGCCACGGGCGCCATCGGAGTCCGATGCTTACCCTTCCATCCTGCGCCCAAGCACAAATCCTTCGCCATGATGCGGGATGTGATGACAGGTGAGTCAAGTATATAAGTATTGCTGGCTTCTGCCATGAAAGCCTAACGGCTCTGGTCAGGCCTGGCCACTGTCAGCAAGCACTGCTGCTCGACAACTAGCGATACGATATGGCGTCGTTGTCGACACAATGCACGAGTGCCAGCGATGCTGTGTTTGGCCCTCGGGTCAGCGTCGCTTGTCGCTCGTTTGACTTCACGCTTTATTTTGAAGATGTGATGTTCGCGTGCCTGCCCGCGGCTCTTTGCCTGTTGCTTCTTCCGATCTCGGTCTGGCAGCTTTGGCACGAGCCTCGTCGCATCAAGAGGTCTGTCCTGTTGGCTTCCAAGCTAGTATGTTGATTAGCACTATTCCCACGATGCAAAGTAGATACTAACATGCTCAGTTAACACTTGGGGCACTATTTGCTGTCCAAATTGCGTTCTTAGCTCTCCGTCAGTCGCAACCTCTAACCCCTGCGGACGGTGCCTCGCTCGCCGCGGATGTGTTGGAAGTGGTGGCCATCGCCAGTGCGATGTGGATGTCCTACTTGAGCCACTGTCGCTCTATTCAGCCCTCTACGCTGCTGATTGTCTATTTCTCTACTCGTACCCTGTTGGGAATCGCCCGGGTGCGGACGCTGTGGCTCATGCGCGCCGCCACGGCAGACGCCGCCATCTTCACCATGGAGATCAGCCTAACTTTTCTATCGTTGATCCTGGAGTCAATCGAGAAAGCATCAATTCTTGCCGAGAAAGCCGCGAGGCCCGCCACGCCGGAGCCGTTCAGTGGGTTCTGGAAGCTTGCGAGCTTCGCCTGGCTGGCAGGAACCTTCCGCCAGGGCTACTCCAAGGTCCTTTCAGTCCACGACCTGCCTGATCTCGACCCTCAGCTGAGGAGTGAGGTCGTGGGTAAACAGCTTCAGGATGCCTGGTCGCAAACTGGTAATGTTGCGTTGTTTCTCGGGACTTCGTGTCTGTTCTAACAAGACTATGCTCTCGGGCTGATAGAAAACAAAACCGCAAAGTATGCCTTGCTCCGCACCTCGACGCGAGCCTACCTAAGCGCACTGCTCGCAGCGGTCATTCCTCGCCTGCTGCTGACGGGCTTCACCTTCTGCCAGCCCTTTCTGGTGGATGCGACCGTGACATGGGTCGGGAACCGGGACGCGGCCCTGGACTCGGGCAAAGGGCTGATCGCAGCGTTTGCGATCGTGTACACCGGCATGGCGGTAAGTTGCGTACCGGCATGGGTTGAAAGGACATGTGTACATACCTGCACAATGCTGGTGCTGATATTGTTGGATGAAGGTATTCACAGCACTGTCCGGCTACCACACCTTCCGCTTCACCGTCCGTCTCCGCGCCGGACTGATCTCCCTCGTCCACCACCAAACCGTGCGAACCAGGGCGGTCGACCTTGGGGAGATTACCGGAGTGACACTGATGGGGACCGATGTCGAGCGCATCACGTCGGGCTTCTTCTCCATCCACGATCTGTGGGCCTGCTTGATCGACATCGCGGTCGCCATTTTCTTACTCGCCAGGCAACTGGGAGTTGCGAGTGTTGTTCCGGTGGTGATGGTCGTGGGTAAGTAGATCCCCAGTACCCTGTTCAAAAGACATTCAGGCATCGATAGTAACAAAATCCAGTCTTCTTTGGCTGCACGTTCAAGCTCTCAGCGTCCAGCAACACCGCTCAACGCGTCTGGATCGAAAAAGTGGAAGACCGGATCCGATTCACTTCGTATGCGCTGGAGAACATCAAGTCGGTCAAGATGCTCGGCCTCTCACCGAGGATGTCTGCAATGATTGGCGGATTGCGGTATGCCGAAGTGGCTGCTTCGACGGTGTTTCGGAAGCTGGTGATCGGGAGTGTGGTACTGTGTATGTCGCCGAATCGAATCTCAATGTTGGAAACCCCGCAGGAAAATGCTGACAAGACCCCCTTGTCTGAACAGCGAATTCACCTGCCAATCTGGCGCCGATGGCGACATTCACGCTCTATGTGATCATCGCTCTCGTCAAACATAACAACTCCATCCTCGCTGCCAAAGCCTTTACCTCTCTGTCATTGATCTCGCTGCTGACGACCCCGGTCTTGACCTTCATCCAGTCGGTCCCATCTGTGGTGGAATGCCTGGGTTGTTTTGATCGGATCCAGGAGTATTGCAGCAAGTCGCCGGGGCCGGATGAGTCTGAGGCACAGCACGAACACGACGGTATCCCCCTAAGCTCACTGAAAACGCAAGCATCAGAGCAGAACGGGAGCGCAGTCGAGTTCACCGGGCAAAGCTTCGCCTGGGGCCAAACAACTGCCCCCGTGCTACAGGACATCCACCTGAAGATCCCACGTGGCGCCATAACCATGGTAGTCGGGCCGATCGGTAGCGGAAAGACGACGTTAATCGAGAGTATACTGTGCGAGACAGTCCTCGCAGGCGAGAAAGTAACCAGAAGCCATGGTTCCATCGCCTACTGCGCCCAGACTCCATGGCTGCAAAGCCAGACCATCCGTGAAAACATCCTTGGGTCGAGTCTGATGGACTCGGCCTGGTACGAGACGGTGATTAGGGCTTGCGGGCTCGAGAAAGACATGGCGCGTCTGCCACGCCGGGATCAGACGCCAGTTGTCAGCAATGGACTGACCCTGAGTGGGGGACAGAAACAACGCATTGTGGGTGGCTTCCAGCCATTGTTTGCTGATAGCTAGCATCGTCACTGATATTGTTTCGATAGGCGTTGGCGCGAGCACTGTACGCCCGACCTCGAGTTGTTCTGCTGGATGACATCTTCAGCGGTATCGACGCTACAGCAACGGACAACATTGCGCGCAGCTTGTTCGGCGACAGTGGCCTGTTCCGGGCATTCGAGACGACGGTCGTGCTTGCGACGCATTCGGGTACAGTACCTGGACTTCTGACAACGGGCGCACATGTACCTGGACTGACCAATTACTGGGACAGGTTTCCTTCTTCAATTTGCAGACACAGTTGTCGTGCTGCGTGAAGGCCGGGTTGTTGAAGCTGGTGCACTCGACGCTCTGAAGCAAAGTAGCGACTTTGTGCGCAACCTCAAGGTAACAGTATCGGAAGTTTCTGGTAGCGAGAGTGAGTCGAGCAGCGACTCTGAGCAGCTTGAACATGTAGACAAGCACAGCAGCAACTCAGAAGCTGTCGAGTCGGCCGATGAAGACGCCACAGACGATCAGAGCCGCCAGACTGGAGACTTTGCGGTCTACGCTTACTACGCCCGTGCGGCCGGGCGCCTGAATATCGTTCTGTCACTGGTGTTCGCTTTCATGTGGGCCTTCTGCAATGAGTTTTCCAGTACGTTGAAGGATGGGTTCTGCATTGTCCGAGGAGGTTTCGCTGACATGGGTCCATAGCTGTCTGGGTGAACTGGTGGACAGCGGCAAACGAGAAGAGTCCCAACTCGAAAGTGGGCATGTATCTGGGAGTTTACATCTTTTTTGGACTATCAGGAGCTATCTTGCTGGTTGCCACTTGCTGGTATGCAGCATCCCACATCGACTACAACCGACTGTCTAACATGCGAACAGGATCACCATCGTGACCATAATCTCCCGCTCAGCAATCAAGCTGCATGACAATGTGTTAACCAGCACGTTCCGTGCCTCCTTCCAGTTCTTCCACAATGCAGACATCGGCAGCATCACCAACAGGTCAGAACCAGCATCAGCACCAGCATACCTTTCCCTCCGGAGCTAACCACCCTCGCACATCACAGATTCAGCCAAGACATGGACCTGATCGACATGCGCCTGCCCGTCGAAGCACTCAACGTAATCGCAAGTAAGCCATGCACCCTTCCAGCCCTACATTGCCTCCCTCCCTCCCCGCAGTCTAACCCCACGAAACAGTGCTATCCACCTGCCTGGTCAAACTGGTCATTCTAGCCATCTTCGCCAAATACCTCGCCGCTGCGATCCCCTTCGCGGCCGCAATCGTCTACATGACCCAGAAGTTCTACCTGCGGACCTCGCGCCAGCTGCGGTTCCTTGACATCGAGGCCAAGGCGCCGCTGTACACGCACTTCCTGGAGCTGGTCAGCGGGGCGGCGACGGTGCGCGCGTTCGCGTGGCAGTCGCGGTTCGACGCGGCGTGCACGGCGCTGCTGAACACCTCGCAGCGGCCCGTCTACCTGCTGTACTGCGTGCAGCAGTGCTTGGGCTTCGTGCTGGACATCCTGGTGACGATCCTCGCCGTCATCCTCGTCGCGACCGTGGTCTTCCTGCGGGAGCGGTTCGATCCCGGCGAGGTCGGCGTCGCGCTGGTCATCGTCATGACCTTCAACCAGACGCTGATGCTGCTGGTCAAATACTGGACGCAGATGGAGACCTCGATCGGGGCGGTGTCGCGCGTCAAGGCCTACGCCGCCACCACCGAGCCCGAGGAGCGGCACCCGGAGCTCCTGCCCGCGCTGCCGGCGCTGTGGCCGCATGCCGGGGCGATCCAGCTGCGCGATGTGGTGGCTAGCCACTCGTGCGTCACCCACTTTCTCTGTCTGTGACATATAACAGCTAACACAGTGTACAGACAGAACGCCACCCCCGTGCTCAGGGGCATCAGCATGTCCGTGCGCGCCGGCGAGAAGGTAGCCATCTGCGGGCCCTCGGGCAGCGGCAAGACGAGCCTCATCCTGGCCCTGCTGCGCATGGTCGAGATCCAGGCGGGCTCCGTGCGGATCGACGGCCACGACCTGGTCGCCTACCCGCGGGAGGAGATCCGCGCGAATCTGACCGTGATCACGCAGGAGCCGTTCCTGATGACGGGCACCGTGCGGTTCAACATCGACCCGGTCGGCGGCGCGGCGGACGAGGCGATCATCGCCGCCCTGCAGCGGCTGCGGCTGTGGGAGCGCATCGAGCGCGAGGGAGGGCTGGAGATGGCGATGAAGCCGACCTCGTGGTCGTTGGGCCAGCGGCAGCTGCTGTGTCTGGCGCGGGCGATGGTGCGCAAGAGTCGTGTGTTGATTCTCGACGAGGCGACCAGCAGGTATGTATTCTTTTGTCCCTTGAGGTCTTTTTATGGGTGCTGGGGCTGGGCTGAACAATGTGTAGTGTGGATCACGAGACGGAGGATATCATGCAGGAGGTCATTGAGACGGAGTTCGCGTCTCACACCGTGCTGGCGGTGATGCATCGCCTGCGGTTGATTCATCGGTATGATCGGGTTGCGGTCTTGAATGCGGGTGGGTTGGTGGAGCTGGATAGTCCTGCTGCTCTGTTGGGTCGTGATTCTTTGTTTCGACAGCTTTACCAGTCTGGACATGGTGGTGCGAGTAGATGATGTTGGTGATGATGATGAGTGGTGACGATTGTTCACTAGAGCTGAGAGATGATGATATACACGAAGCCACGACACTATACACAGAAGAATAATACTATACACAAGCGAGCCAGACAACCTCACCACTCGCGCCGAACACGGATCGTGTAAGAAGGCTCCTCACTCCCTCCCTGCAGGGTATACACATCCAACCTCTCCGGACCGTATCGATGGTTGTAAAGCTTCATCCCCGGCGGACACGAGACCAGCTTCTCCAGGGCCCTTACCACCTCCCACGCCCAATCGATCTCCGCGCCCAACTCCCTCGCCAGCATATTACAGCGCACCATAATCTGCCAGCAGCGGTGCAGATACCGCCGCAGCTGTCGGCGGTTCCGCTCATGGAGCGGATCATGCGGCACGCATAGCCGCGATCGGGGCTCCTTTTCGCCCTCGTCGCTCAAGCTCGTCACCTCCGCCGCCCAGTCGTCGGGCACGCCTCGCTCGCGGAGATAGGCCTCGACGCGCGCTGTGTCCTGTTGACTCGGACGGAAGCCCGGTTTGTCAGACGCGAGGAGCAACTGGAAGGGCAGCTCGCCGTACGTGAAGCAATCCTTCTCCTCGGCCTCGGCGAGAATGGCCAGTAACGCGTCCACGGAGACGTCCTCGTGCTGCTGCCACAACCGCTTGAGGCGGTCGCGCCGTCCCTCCTCGTCTCGTGCGCAGGACTTCTCGTACCACCGATGTCCCTGGTCCCGGATCAGCACCTGGCTCGCGAAGCCGAACTGCGGCTCCAGGCCCAGAAACTGGCGGTGCGGGTACCGCGACATCTCCGTCGCTTGCCAGAGGCGCGTCCACTCGTCAACCGGGCGCTGGTACATTTTTGTGGTGCGGTAGTCGTGCGCATAGGCCCTGGTCCCGGCTGCATGTTTCGCGGCCGAAGAAGAAGAAGAAGAAGAGTGTAACTCCGGGAAGCAGTAGAGAGTATTCAACGTCAGGTACATCTCCAGCGCGGCGTCGAAGACCGGGCCCCACCCGTGGTCCATCTCACACTGCCTCAGTTAGTCATGATGAATGATGATAATCAACTCGAGTTGTACAACACACGAGTCATATTGGAAACCACCAGTGCCATTCACACGAAGGGAAGTGAAAATGGGAGGGAAGCGGAGGTACTCACTAGTTCCATACAGGAACAATCCTGCACGCGCATCCACTCCTTCAGCCCAATTTCGGGATGCGCGCACAGCCGGAAAACGATCTCCATCTCCCCGAGCACGAGCAGGGTGCTGACGACCTGCAGATTGAAGAACCCGTCGCCGTTGACCTCTTCGAACCGGAAACAGTCGTTCCATTGGTAGGGCCGGAGGAAGGCAGCGGCCCGGCGTTCGGTGTAGGGGAGCGGACAGCCGCAGGCAAAGTCGGCGGTGCTGTCGATGTGCTGGCATAGCTGCTGCGTCTTCTGAATGTTTCTCTTGGGGTGGTGCCAGCGAAAGGTGAGGGGGTGGATGCGCGCGGCTAGGCGGTCGTCTAGGAGGAGTTCGTCGCGCGCCGGGGGGAGGTATTTCGGGGCGTACTGTTGCCGCGCAGCGGTCGTGTCCTCGTTGAAGGCGCGAGCGAAGGAGGTGGCGAAATGGCCTAGATCCTTGGCTTGGGTGGGGAGGAAGCGGAAGTAGAGGTTGGCGATGGTGGTGTCCGGGCTGGTGTGGGTTGGGGCACGGTGGATGAGGTGCGAGGTTAGGCTGCGCCAGGGGATACGGTGGGCGCGTTGGGCCATTGGGGATGAGAGGATTGAAGATTGGGAAGACTTGATCGATAAAGCTAGCTGTGTGAGCTTACCTTATAGTTCAAGGGGAGGACCCTGATCAGGGGGCACAGACTACGGGGTCATAGTAAGACCTAGTTGACTAGCAAACCCATTCCTGTGGTAAGAAGTAGTAAAATCGCCTTCCTTCTTTAGGACTTTTGGCTTGGATTAGTGCTATTACTTTCCCTGATCAGCCTAGAGTAGTTCAAGGTCCAATATAAAAGAAGGGTAGCTGGCCGTCGGACTCCGGGTGGGCCCAGGGTCCCTCGGAGCTTATCGGGGCACTGTCCTCCCCGAGTCAGCGCGAGTCCCTATTCTTGTCCTAGGGCTTATTAGGGCTGCAAGGACTATACTAAAATGACCCATAATCGCATGTATCCAGACGAGATGTCCTGAGTTGGTAAGAGATCTAATCTAGTAAGATTAGGGACTAGTTTGCATGGTTCTGGTTAATGAGAATGATCTATACAAATGATCAGACTGGAAAACTCCTAGGTGCTCTCTACTCCGTAACTTATGGGAGTTGCCTCCATCTGCCGTATCCTAAGGCAGGTGTATGTACTGCCCTCGTGCTATAAAATAATCCCTTGCCACCTGCTAAGCAGCCCTGCCCGGGGAGGATCCGTGCGGCTATTGCGGAACCGCCGTGCTGTGCCTACGGAGTACGGAGGGATCTTTGGAAACCATATACAAATAGAAGTAGCGCCCCAATCCTTTTCTTCCAGTTCCAGTTCACTTCACCCGCATACATCATAAGTCCTCTGAATACAAACACTCCACCTCATAAAGATAGATAAAAAACAATATATAATATGAATAATTACATCATTCTTATCAGCATCTTTAATGTATATATTTTATCTAACTTGTTATAATTATCCTGCTGTTTTGATTACATATCAATCTCTTCATTTCACTAGATATAAAATTATAATTTAATCCTTAAATTTAAAAATTTTTTATTATAATTTATGAGATTTCTGAACTCTCAGGGCTGACGCCACGAAGACCTCGTTGTTCGCAGGATGCCATTAGTAGTCGGTACACAATGACCCGGTGTAGCACCACATGCCGAGATCTTCGTCGGAAAACAAGACTGCGTTTACAATAACCAAAGATTTGCGAACGACGTACTATACAGACGACTGGCGAGGTCCCGGGTGGATGTTTTGGTCATTAGGTGTGAACGGTGTTTGTAAGATGTTGAAGCTTCCCTACCGCTTACCACTGGGGCTCGAAAGTGAGTTTCACGAAGCGCGGTTTGCAAGAATGGCCTCGAGACCTTGAGCTTCGACAAGATATGGTGGAAGTTGCTAGTCAATAGCATTGATTGAGTTGGAGACATCTTAAGATCCCCTCTTAAGCCACTAACCCAAACCTGCATAGTGCAGAACGCAATCCCGATAGATTTCGGAGCTGAACAATAGTATCGGAGATAGACAGACAGTGTATCAACATCAAAGAGTATATAAGGAAAGACAATACCAACCCAAAACCAAAACGATCAGCTCACCATAGTCCTACCACAATACACCCCGCCTCAAAATGCCCCCCAACCCCAACTCCAACCCCATCCCGACAACCTTCGTCTCACGCAACAATCTCCACCTAGCCGCCCATCTGTACCCGCCGTGCCGCAATGCCCCCTCCCGCGCTGGCGCCGCCATCATAATCGCCCACCCGTGGACTTCCATCAAAGAACAATCCCCGGCCAACTACGCCCGCTACCTCTCCGCCGCCGGGTTCACCTGCCTGACCTACGACGCCGCCCACCACGGCGAATCCCCCGGCCACCCCCGCCACCTGGAAGACCCCTACCAGCGCGTCGAGGAGATCAAGAACGCAGCCACCCACCTAGCCACCAACCTTTCTGACTTTGTGGATCCCCACCGCATCGGGGTCCTAGGCATCTGCGCCGCAGGCGGGTACGCCGCCTTCGCCGCGCAGACGGACCTGCGACTCCGGGCCGTGGCGACCGTCTCCGCGGCGTGCGTGGGCGACTTAGTCCGGCGCGGTGGTTCTTTATCCCAAGACACCGTTGACCCGGCAATCCTGCAGACGCAACTTGCGCTGGCAGCAAAGGACCGCACTGCCATGGACCTCCCCACCCGGGGAGAAGGAGATGAAGATGTAGGGCTGGTGCGAATGCTCCCGCAGCGCTACGAGGACCTACCCGCCGATGCACCCCCGGCCATGCGGGATTTCGCGGCATACTACTGCACCCCCCGGGGCTACCATCCCCGGGCCGAAGGGGTGGCGCGCGCGCAGAGCTGGGATCTGATGGCGAATTTCGAGGCGTTTCGGTTCATGGATAGGGTCAGTCCAAGGCCGGTGTTGATGGTTGTTGGGGAGAGGGCGGAGAGTCGATGGGTGAGTGAGGCTGCTGTTGAGCGGGCGAGGGAGCCGAAGGAGGTGTTTGTGGTGGAGGGGAGGTCGCATGCTGATTTGTATGATCGTGTCGAGGAGGATGGGGTCGGGGAGAAGTTGGTGCAGTTTTTTATGGGGGGGTTGGTGGGGGTTTAGGGTTGGATTGGGTGGCGGTATGAGTGCTTTCACGACTGGAGTAGGGCTTCGGACTCTAGCACTCAGTGGTGAGTTTTTATGGTCGGCAAGTTGAGAAAGATTTTTGTACATAAGTACAGGTGGTTCTTTGGCCTTCCAGTGATTATACGAGAGCCATAAAAAGGCACAGAAGATTGGAGAGATCCACTATAGATGTGGGGTGAAGATAAATAATGGTTAAAAGCAAAAGTGTGGATATCCATCCTTAGAGTTGGTATCCTCTAAATGCCTTTATTGCAGTTCGGAACACATGTAGCTGTCAAGATGCAGTTATAGTTCCATCAAAATGAAGTCATTATCATCATTATCCGCGAATTATGCTGTACATACAATCACTGTTTATCATCATTCTAAATCATCACGCTCATCACCCAGTCAAATGCTCTATTGCGCAACAAGAACACCCCTGTATCTCATCTTGCCTTCATTCAGCGTTTTCAATGCCTCCTGCACACCCTCCTGCGTCAACGGGAAGGTCATCTTGATAGGCTTGATGCCGTGCAAGGCAGCGAAGGCCAGCATGTCGCGGTGGACCTGTCTCGCGGAGACGATGCCGCCCTGCACGCGCAGGCCACTGGTGAGAAGGGTCATGTAGGGGAACTTGAACTCGGAGCTGTCGACGGAGAGCGGCGAGATAACGGCGCCGGGGGCCAGGACGGAGGTGTAGAGGTTCCAGTCGGGCTGGCTGCTGGTGGAGACGATCAGATGATTAAGAGGCTTGCCGATCTTGAGCTCCTTGGCGCCCTTGGTCGCGTGGAACTCCTTCGCGCCCAGCTTGAGCGCCTCCTCCTTCTTGCTGTCACTGCCGGAGAACACGACGACGTCGCAGCCCATCTTGGCGGCGAACTGGATGGCCAGGTGGCCGAGCCCGCCGATGCCGACGATGCCCACGCGGGAGGTCGACTTCACACCCGCCACAACGAGGGCGTTGAAAACGGTCGACCCGCCGCACATGAGCGGGGCCGAGTCCTCGTTGCTGAGCCCGTCGGGGATCTTGAACAGGAAGGCCTCGCGCCAGACGGCGTGGGTGGCGAACGAGCCCTGATCCAGATCCGCCCCCGCATACATCGCCCGCTCCGGGCACATCGTCTCCCACCCCGTCAGGCAGTTGGAGCACCGCCCGCAGCAGTCGTGCTCGTACCCCCAGCCCACCCGGTCGCCCTTCTTCAGGTCCTGCACCTCAGGGCCCACCTCCTCGACCACGCCGGCGCCCTCGTGGCCCAGCGCCATGTCGGTTGTCTGGTAGTGTAGATCCGTCCCGCACACCCCGGAGTGGGTGACCCGCACCAGCACTTGGTCTTTCTTCAGATCATCGCGGTGGGTGGTGGCTTGCTTGATGGATCCGTCTTTGGATCCTTTGTAGACGGTGAAATCGTATCCCATGGTTGCGATTGGTGTATAGGTTGGTAGTGAGGAGAATTTCGAGAGATAGTGTAAGGACCTTGCAAGAATCCCGATACAAATGGGTTCTCTTTCGTCCGGGCTATATAAAACGTCGGGGATAAATATGATGTCACCGGGATCCACCGAAAATTGCCGCATGCGGTAATTTCGGCAGGCGACGGAGCCAGCGATGATATCAGGTCAGGATGAGGTCAGTCCAGTCTATTGTTACTTCTGCGCACCGTGCGCCTGGTGAATGATTCAGTAGTGACGCGATGGAATAATGAAGTTCTGATATCGTTTATTATCTCTGGCTAGCCGTGGGTGTGGTAATGGCTACTCGGGTATCTCTCATGGAAGAACATCGAAGCATTACCAATCCTTATCTCGGTTTTGTCATGATTGAGTGTTTGCATTAGTCCCAGTGCATGGTTAGGAGAATAATATTGCAGCCTGGCACAAGTAGTTTTATCGCATGTGGGATTGGAATGTGTCAAGCTGGGCTGCATGGAGCGTTGCCAAGCTCATAATGCATGGCTGGATACTCGCCGATCACTTGGTGCCTTAGGCGTAAAGACGTATTCCTCCTTTTACCAGCGCCGTCTCTTAACATAGCCATGCTGGACGGAGGTTGGAATGATCCGAAGTCTGATACTGAGGTTTTCTACCAACTCAATATGCCAAGAAAAAGCAATCATATCGATTTCCTGTGGTAGCTATCTCCCGGCTAGTTTGATCCCCCAAGAAAGATAGGTCCAAGAAACGCCGGTGCCGTCCCCAGTCTCATATCACTAACCACACCTCCATCCTATTGATAGAATTCTCGCAGAGCAAAAAGAAAAACACATTAAAGAGAAAGAAAGAGTAGGGTGCAGTCTCTTGCTTGGAAGATTCAAACAGAGAAGCCGAGTCGCTTATCTCCTGACAGCACGGACAGCGTCGATTGTGATGGTCCTGGGATACCAAGACTTTGCAACAACCCGGGACAGATGAGGGTACGTAAGAATCACAAGCGTATGGAGAGTCGCACTAATCATGCCATTGGGATTCCATGCCATAACTTCTCCACGCCTGTCTTCCCATTTCAGGATCGTCTCTCGTGGACCATCGATCTCCCACCGTTCCGTCATTTTATCCTTCCTTGGAAGGTCACTGGTATATGGAGCGGGACCATCACCGACAACAATTGAGATCGAACGTATGCCGGAGAAATATTTGACGAAATGACATAGTAAGGCCTGGTCTGCCATAATCACACTCTCGGAAACTGCAACGTTCATAATCCCTGGTTGGTGCTCGAGCCAGGGGTAACGATCTGGCGAAGCAGGATCAAACCATGCATTGGCGAGATATAGTGTATCAATCACCGGGATGAAGGGGCGAGTCAAGAAGTAAGTACCTTTGTGCCGAAAGCGCTTGCGCAAAGGACGATGCTTGTTTAGCCAGTCAAGAGCGACAGAACGGGATTCATGGCTCACATAAAGGAGGGGCATTGCGATCTGGTTAGAGCCTGGACTACTAGGCCAGTAGAAAGTCGGATACATCCGATTAAATCTTTCCCTCGTCCATTTCCATTCAGTCTTCTCGACCCATGGATAGAGTGTAGCCTTGTCTGTCAAGATCGGCAGCGCATGCTTCCAAATCTCAAGGCGTAGCTCAGTAGGGAGCCAGGGAAATCGTCTGAAGGCCGGGTGCTTGTTTTTGGGAGCTGGCATGACTGTGTGAGTTTTTGAAGGATGAAGCCAAAGGGCCTAGCCCAGTAGAATGGCTGGAGGAAGTTGTTTATATGAAGGGACACGAGGGTCGAAGGTGAAAGGGCTAGAAAGTGAAAGAGTAACCCAAGAAGACGTGTGGCTCAGTCCTCCTCTGATGGACAAACTGGGTGAGTGAAGCAAGAATAGAGGCCACTTAGGTCTTTGTTGGCTGTCGGTGCTTGGCCTTCGCCAAATGAGTTGCAGAAGGAGTATCTCAAATACGAGGTGGGAAGTCAAGGCAGTGTGAATTGTATGTAAAGTATGCGGCCGGTAGATCGACAAGTTTACCTTGATATTTAGTCTTAAAGTATAAGCTAAGTTTGACTTCCAGCTCACTTCCGTTTGATAGGTAAAAGATTGGGATTCTGTCACCCAGTGACAGCAAATAGATCAAAGGTGTATGAAAACGGGTGCGCTTTGTGAATGATGTTAAAGCTAGTGATACTAAGATGAGGTATCATATCCTTCTGTCTGTGCAAGCAGACAAGACAGCAACTGGCCTGTGATACGCTACAGTTCCTCAGCAGTCCCACATCTCTGTAGAGGAAGTTTTCAAAACAAGGCATCCAAATACTTAATCTGCAGCCCTGCTTGATATTGCATTCATCTTAAGCATTTGCGTCTGGATCTGATGTCGAAATTGTTGCTCCTGCATTGTAAATGGTAATATACAAATCATTTCCTGTATCTAACCAACCTCTATTCCCCCTTCCGCGACTGCTTCAATATCTCCACCTCACTTCCGCCTCGAATGACCCCGACGCGCATCATCGATAGAAGATTATGCGCCGCATTCGAATGATAATACACCCCCCCATTAAACATAGCAGTCGAATCCTTTCCAATGCCAGCATTGATCATCGCCCGTCCCCCGGGATGCTCCTCCACAAACTGGCTCACATCATGCACGACCCCGGCCACCGCCACAAGGGCCCGACTCTTCGCCAACTCCACATACTCCTCCCACTCCAACACAGGCAAGTCCTTGATAGGCGTGCCCCAATCCAACCTCGCGCGCCGCTGATCGACCTTCTTCTGCATCTGCTGCACCCTCCCCTTCTCAATCTCATTCGCGCGGAACACCTTTAGATCATACGCGAGCCCCATCTGCTTCCACAGCCAGATCACCCACTTGGTGGGGTCATACTGATACCACTGAATCGCATTCCGGTAATCGGAGGGAAACTCATGATGAAAGTTGTGGTAGCCCTCACCCAGCGTGGCCAGGGCGGTGATAGCATGATCGCGCGGGGAGTTGCGGTCGTCGAAGGGCTGCTCGCCCAGCCAGTGGGCCAGCGAGTTAATGCAGAAGGTCGCCTGCTGCACGAAGAAGATGCGCAGGATGCCCGCGTAGACGAAGCCGCCCCACCAGTCGCCCCAGAGCCCCGCGCCCAACATCGGCACCCCCATGCCCATCACCGCCACCACGAGGAGGTAGTGCCGGTGCTGCCACACCACCACGGGGTCCTCGTTCAGATCCGAAATGTCCGTCCGTCCGATCCGCTTCGGGTTCTGCTTGAAGATCATCCACCCGAAGTGCGAGTAGAAGAGGCCCTTGTTCACCGAGTACGGGTCTTGGTCGGTGTCGGTGTACCGGTGGTGCGCCCGGTGCAGTCGGGACCACCACCGCGCCGAGCCCTCGACGGCTCCGCCTCCGGCGGCGGCGAGCCAGATGCGGAGCGGGAGGGTCGCGGAGTAGGAGCTGTGGGACCAGAGACGGTGGTATCCTGTGCCGTTTCGGGTGAGGTTAGGATTGGGTTCTGTGGTTGGGTGGTTGGGGGGAGTTGCGGGCTGCGGGCTGAGGCCACGTACCAGCTGTGATGCCTAGGCCGGTGAAGAAATAGTAGGCGATGGCCCAGATGGCGGTTTTGAACTGCAGGGGAACCCAAAATGCTTGTATGCAGCCGTAGAGGGGAATTCCGATGATCATGATGACATTGAGCCAGTCGATGTGTTGGTGCCAGTTGCGCAGGGTGATTGGGATGTCGGCTATGTGCACTTGCTTCGGCACATCCCCTGTTCGTACAGCGGACGTGTTTGCGGTTTTGGGAGGCATGGTGGCCTGATTCTGCTGTGTGTGTGCACTACCGAATCAGGAGGGATGCCAGGTTGGTTGATTGCGAGGTGGGAAAAAGATAAGAAATTGATATTGCTCAAGAGTATGAATTGAGTTCTGATGTAGTCTGTTCTAAGCCAGAAGCATCAGAGCAACGAATGGTTTTATCTCTACTACAATGGACAGTATTGACACAAGGGCGACCGACTCGCCCCCGGACTGTTGGGCCAGTGACATGATGCGGATGTGGTTCGATGTCGGATCAGACGAAAAGGTACGATCTCATTCGCTGCAGCAATCCCAACAGCTCGAGTCAGCCATGTTCCTGACCCGGTCTCAAGGCAAAGGATTCATGCATCAAGATCGATAGAGCTCAAACATGGTTGACGACGCATACTTGGATCGATGTTGTGCTCTTATGTTGACATGGAGGGATCTGTTGGGGCCAGGGCTGCTTAGTCACCTGGGCTGATGGCCTCCCAAAAAATGTTCACTAATCATTTAATCCAAATGCTGGACCCGCAGGGCCTCGGCCATCAGAAGGTGCGGAGAACTCAACATCTTATTTCTGTGTTCAACGTTTCAATTCTTTTCTCATTGCATGTCATTGGTTCTCACCCTCCCAAACCACGTGCCATCCGTCTCACTTCTCACTGCCCTGTCATCTCCATCTCACTCACCCTCAGTTCGATTTTGTCAACCCAAGCTTAGCCGCAATGCGAGGGAAGATGGCCAACGTATTCTGATGATTGATCTGCGCCATTTCCGCCTCGGTAAAATTGCCATTCGCCTGGATCGCCGCCAGCCCCGGCTTCGCCTGACTGACCGGCACATACGGAACTAACACCACCATCAGCAATCAGCACCCTGTTCACCACCTCACAATGCATCTCCATAGACACAACAGTGAAAAAGGAAACAAGACGAAGAATCTCAATCAGGCGGATGACTTACAATCCGTCCCCGTCACAATCTGGCCCACTCCGATAAACGCCTTCAGCGCCTGCAGCTGGATCGCCGAATACGCCGACGCCGTGTCGAAGTAATACCCCTTCAGCTGGGCGACCACGGTCGCCGGGTTCAGCGCCCCCAGCGCCGGCAGACTGGCCACCCCCGCGATGCGACCGGCCAGGTAGGGCATGGCGCCGCCGCCGTGCGGGTAGATCATCGTGACGTTGGGGTAGCGCGCGCGCTGGCCGGTCAGCAGCATGTTCTCCATCGCGCGCACGCTGTCGAACGGGTACTCCGTCAGGGGGCCGCCGTAGCCGAGGGTGGCGTCGGCGCAGCCGGGCGTCGCGGGGTGGACGAAGACGGTGGCGCGGCGCTGGTTCAGGGCCGCGAACACCGGGTCGAGGCTCGCGTCGCCCAGGTACAGGCCGTTGTAATTGGTGTAGAGGCCGATGCCGTCGAAGTGGAGGGTGTCGAGGCAGTACTATCCTCTGGTCGGCGGCTGGTTCTCACGTAGACATTGGACTGGTAGGGGGAGGTGTGGTACCTTGATCTCTTCCAATGCGTCCGCGACATCGGGCAGAGGCAGGAGGCATAGCGCGCCCAGGCGCGTCGGATAGGTCCGGGTGTAGTTGTGCAGCAGGTTGTTGAGCTCACGGGCCAGTCGTTTGGCCTTCTGGGGCTTGGACGCCAGGAAGTACACGCCCGGGGTGGTCACGCTCAGCGTCGAGTAGTTGACCCCGTAGCTGTCCATGTTCTGGAGGTGGCCCGCCAGCGTCCAGTCCGGCACCGGGAAGCCCTCCACGATCAAGCTGCCATTCACGGTGGGGTAGCCTTCTTCGATCAGCGCATCCAGCCAGATCTGGGGGACCGGGTGGGAGTGCACATCGATCCGGTATTGGGAGTCGAGGCTGGTGTGCGCGTGTACGATCTGCGTCGCCGCGGCTGCGAAGGCGGCGAGGTGGTATATGAATTTGGCCATGGTCGACAGCGCAACGCGATTGCTATTGTGACGCAGTTGAGCGTTTCGCCTGGAGTTCTTCCCGCTGGAGAGAAATGCAGGTGCAGATTTCACCCAGAGGCCTTATATACACGCATGGTTAGGCTTGGCGGAGGAGCTCGGGCAAACAATCAAATGTGAGCGACCGAGATATACGAAGCAATTAATATTGAAGAAGATGGCGATTCGACGGAGAGATTCAGCCGAATAGTTACAGCATTCTATTCCGCACCGTGGGCTTAGAGATTGCCCTATGATTGGTGCAGTTGGTCTCGAAGAGGTTAGGGCTCTTTGTTCAGTGGGCGCTAAATGCCGCCTTGTTCGGGATGATTAGAATTGTTCTCGATGAAGCTCCATACTTCGCTAGGATTGAAAAGTGATGGAACAGCGGACTTCTCGATGGATCGGATTATGCGCCCAGAGCAACATCACCAGCCCTAGCATTCTTCCATTCAAGCCTTAATTCATTTCAACCGATATAATGATGATTACGCGACGTGACGAGGATCTTTATGCGCGGGAAAGCTATCACATTTGGAGCGGGGTAAGGCGCACTCGGCAACCGACCTCGGACTGAGGACTGGGGACTGGGCACCAGGACCAATTCTTTTTCCTATTTTCGCAGGTGCGGACTAACCCGCAGCTTATGCCCATCAGGTCCACATGGTCTAGGAGGCTCGGTTGTGAACCGCATCTATGACGAAGAACTATGAGTATGTTCCCTCAACGGAAAGCTACTTGTGCCTAGTGCGGCTATTGCGGAACCTCGGAAACCACTGTCCCTGCTGAGATTCCGTTAACCTACAAAGACTCTGCCTAGTACGGCAGTCGCTGTTTTGTGAATGTGGTGATGCATCGAGACTCGTTGAATCCACGAGGCTCGATGACTGCGGAGTTCCCTTCTGGGTGTTTTTGCTGTTTGGAGTGTGATGTCTGTCAAGACACTGCCTAGCCCATCCGCTGTGAACCCTCGAAACATGAGTAAGGGCGAAGCCCGTGGCGGCGGCCCGCAATACCCGACAGTATGAACTTCGCATACAAAAATGGTCGATAATGTATCGTCATTTCAGGTTGAGAGTTTCATCTCAATTTTCATGAACACCTTCTGGAAATCTTTGACTTGAAGCAACTCCCTGCACAGCCAAGACGCCATGAGCAACGCGGACCTTGAAGCAGGCGAACTACACAAAAGCAGGAGCGATAGCCTGCAGTACGACCTGACCGTGGGCAATGACAATGAGGAAACCCTCGAGAAGGACAAGCCTTTAGGTTACTCTATGGGAGCCGGGAAGCGTTTCCCACCGCCGCTTCCTGATCCAGCTGAGTACGTTGTTGAGTTCGACGGACCTGACGACGCCACGCATCCTTTCAACTGGAGCTTTGCCGTGAAGTAAGACCATTCGAGAACAGGGAGAAATTAAGAATCAAGATCTAACACTCTAAGTTAGGCTCTACATCTCCGTCATAGCCTGTGCCGGCACCTTCGTCGCATCTTTCGCCAGCGGGCTGTTCGCCCCAGGAACCGAGCAAGTAGGCAAAGCCTTCGGCGTCAGCACCGAGGTAGCCACCTTGGGAACCACCCTCTACGTCCTGGGCTTCGCAACGGGCCCTCTGATCTGGGGACCTGCTTCGGAATTGATCGGCCGACGGTGGCCCCTGATCCTAGGCCTCGTCGGCGGGGCCATCTTCGACATCGGCTCGGCAGTGGGCAAGGACCTGCAGACGGTCATCATCTGCCGCTTCTTCGCGGGGGTGTTCGGAGCCTGCCCGTTGTCCGTCGTCCCCGGCGTGCTGACGGATATCTACAGCAATGCCCATCGGGGATTCGCCATGACCATCTACGCGCTCACCGTGTTCGTCGGGCCCTTCTGCGCCCCATTCATCGGCGGGTTCATCACCTCCAGCTCGCTCGGCTGGCGCTGGACACTCTACCTCCCCGCCTTGATGGGCTTTGCATTGGGCATCATCTCCTTTGCCTTCCTGAAAGAAACATACGCCCCGATCCTCCTGGTCGAAAAGGCAGCCGCCATCCGCCGGGCGACCCGCAACTGGGGCATCCACGCCAAACAGGACGAGGTCGAGATCGATCTGACCGCGCTGCTGCAGAAGAACTTCACCCGCCCGCTGCGGATGCTCCTCACCGAGCCTATCATCCTGCTGATCTCGATGTACATGTCGTTCATCTACGGGCTGGTCTACGCCCTGCTTGAGGCCTACCCCTACGTGTTCCAGACGGTCTACCACATGAGTCTCGGCGTCAGCGGCCTGCCCTTCATCGGCCTGATCATCGGCCAGGTCCTCGCCTGCGCCTTTATCCTCTCCCAGCACTCGGCGTATGTCAAGAAACTCATCGCGAACGACAACCGCCCTGTGCCAGAATGGCGGCTGGGGCCCGCGATGATCGGTGCTCCGATCTTCACGGTCGGGATCTTCTGGTACGTATACTCTGTATCGGGGTCACGACTCGCACGAGCACCATATTGATGTGAGGGGGAGAAGGTTCGGCTGGACGGGATTCACACCACGCATCCACTGGATGGCACCCACTGCGGCCGGTGTCTTTGTAGGGTTCGGCGTACTGTGCATCTTCCTCCCGTGCTTCAACTACTTGGTTGATTCGTATCTCCCGCTGTGAGCTAGCTGGAACATTCTTGTTGCTTCTCGGGCAGTGAGCTGACGTGACTTAGGGCGGCATCGACCGTGGCGGCCAACATCATCCTCCGCTCCAGCGTTGCGGCTGGATTTCCGCTGTTCACGAAGCAGATGTTCGAAAATCTGGGGATCCAGTGGGCGGCGACGTTGCTGGGATGCCTGGCGGCCGTGATGATTCCTATCCCCTTTGCGTTTCGGAGGTGGGGCCCGCGGCTGAGGGGGAAGAGTTCGCTTGCTCCTTAGCTTGAATACGCGTTGATAGCATTTGATCTTATAGACATAGGGCCAAAGCCGACCGGGGCTTCGCTCCACACCATGGCTCCAGTCTTCTTCGACAGTCCTAAGCTGCCCTACTTGAAACCCCACACAAAGCTGTACAATACAAGCCAAACAATACATGCACATACCTTGCACAGTACATCCCAATCACCTAAACCAATCCTCGGTATACCACACAAAACACCCAACACAAGCTACACGTCCCCTGGCCCACGGGCCGTCAAAAAGCGAAAATCCGCCCCCTCATGCGCCTGATTGACCTCCCGCTCATACAACCCGCGATACCCGCGCCTGGCCCGCCGCGCATTCCACGTCTCCTCCAGCCCTTGTTCCACCACGGCGACGCGCCGCTCCTCCACCCTCCTCTGCAATTCCTCCTCACTCACCTCCAACCGCAGCACCCTCCTCTCCACATCCAGCGTAATCATATCCCCGGTGCGCACGGCCCCGAACGGCGACTCCGGCACCGCCGCCTCCGGCGCCACATGCAGGACGATGGTGCCCCCGGCGGTGCCGGACATGCGGCCATCCGAGAGGCGCAGCATATCCGTGACCCCGCGGGCGGCCAGCTTGCGCGGGATGGGGATCATGCCGGCCTCGGGCATGCCGGGGTTCCCGATGGGGCCGATGCCCTTGAGCACGAGGACGGAGTCTGGGGTCACGTCGAGGTCCGGGGCGTCGAGGCGGGCGGCGAGGTCGCGCGGGCTCTCGAAGACGACGGCGGGGCCCGTGTGGTACAGGAGGCGCGGGTCCTTGGAGGCCGAGGCCTTGCACACGGCCCCGTCCGGGGCGATGTTGCCGTGCAGCACCACGAGGGAGGCGTTGGGGTGCAGCGGGTCCGCCAGGGTGCGGATGATACTGCGGGAAAAGTCGTGGTCGCGGAAGGGGGTGCTGTCGAGGACCTCGCTCAGGGTGGCGCCGGTGATGGTGCGCGCCGAGGTCTTGAGGAGCGGGCGCAGTCGGTGCAGCAGGCAGAGCATGCCCCCTGCGTTGTGGAAGTCGGTCATGTAGTTGTCGCCGCTGGGTTTGAGGTCCACCAGCAGTGGGGTCGTGCGGCCGATGGCGTCCAATGTGTCCAGGGTCAGGGTCCCGCTGATGTCCGGGTGCCGGTTGATGATGGCCATTAGGTGCACCATTGCGTTCGTCGAGCCGCCGATCGCCTGGAGGACCACGGCTGCGTTGTGGAAGGATTCTGCGGTGAGCAGGGCTTGCGGGGTGCGCTGGTCGCGGTGCTGCGCGGCGGCGACTGCGTTGGCGCCCGTCTGCTCGGCGATGCGCAGGCGGGCGGCTGAGACGGCGGGCGCCGAGGCCCCCTGGAGTGGGATGAGGCCGAGCGCGGCGGTGATGCAGGCCATCGTGCTGGCAGTGCCCATTACTCCGCAGGTGCCGACCTGTGCCGGGGGCGGGGTTAGGGCTGTGCAGTGGGGAAGGGAAGGGGAAGGGCAGGGTTACGCACTGTTGGCGCCAGTTCCTCGTTGATCGCTCCGATCTCCTCCATGTCGATCGTGCCCGCCCGGTACGAAGCCCAATTGTTTCGGCAGTCGGTGCAGGCGCCGATTCGCTTGCCCCGGTGACTGCCAGGCATCATGGGGCCGGTGAGAAGGGGTAGAATGGGCTTGTTGGCGGAGATGCCGCCCATGATCTGAGCGGGGACCGTCTTGTCGCAGCCTGGGGGGTAGGATGTCAGCACGATCGCACAGGTTCACGGCGGTCAGTGGGAAGGTTCTCTGGCCTGTACAGACCTCCGATCATAATGCAAGCATCCACAGGCTGAGCACGGATCATCTCCTCGGTGTCCATGCTCATGAGATTCCGCAGGAACATGCTGGTCGGGTGGGAGAAACTCTCGTGCAGGCTGATGGTGGGGAAATCGATGGCAATGCCTCCCGCAAGGTGGATGCCTCGCTTGGTCGCCTCCATCAGCTGCGGCACGTTCCCATGGCAGGGGTTGAAGCCCGAGCCAGTATTGATGATGCCGATGATGGGACGGGAGAGCGCATCTTCCGAGTAACCTAGGGCTTTGATGAAGACTTTGCGCAGGAACAGGGAGAAGTGGGCGTCTCCGTACGAGGTGAGCCCTTGGCGCAGCCCGGTGGTGGAGGCGATGGGTTGCTGGAGATCATAGTCCTGGTTTGGTGGTTCCGTTTGCTCCATTCTCGCGCTTAGTGGGTAATGGGTAAACGAAGCTGATAGTTTGATTCCTGGATGTTGCCAAACGTGCAGCTTTATGAGACAATGCGGGGTCGGCTGGGGATAAACCGAGGCGGAAACTTCTCCGAGCAGCAAAGCGGGAGAGATCCGAGCTCCCCGCTTCGATGCTTCTCATTTCCGTCGGCATGGCGCAATGTCTTTTACGCCTATCTGGATTGGCTGGAGTTGGAAATCGTCCAATGCAGTCTAAAATGCCAGCCTTAGGCATTCTATGGCTACTAGGTACAGTGAGCACAATGTTCTGTTCGCACAAAGACGTACAGACAAAGGAGCATGGAAACCCTAACAATGGAAACATACCGTAGCGAATTGGGGCTCAAAGAAACGGGTAAACATCCCGACCCTCTCATATATCACCACTATCCATCTCAGAACGTGGGCCTTTGTATATAAGATGAAGCTCATTGGCGAATTAAAAGACGACAAAGTGAGCAATATGACAAGGCATGCAACAAACTCTCATCCCACCACAAACATCAAATTCGCAGGATATACAGTATAAAAGCCCCCCTCCGAAATCAGTCGTAACGTCGCTCCTTCCACTCAGTCACAATATCTTTCATTTCCGTACGAATCTCACAGCTAGGTCAAAATGGCCACTCTGCAGACAGAGTCTGCACAAAAAGAATTTGCCTCCCAATGCCAGGCCACGAATCTGGACTACGGGCTCCCCGACTGGGACTCGGATACCTCGTCTGACTCTGATAATGAAACCGTCTCGAGCGTCAACATAGTGGGACCCGACGAGGTGTCGCTGGCCAAGATTCCCTACTGGTTGGACCAGACCCCGGGTCTCAAGGCGAAAGACAGGAAACCCGTGCCTCCGCCGCGGGTGTATTTCCCCGTGGATGCGCCGGACAGTCCCGAGCTGCACCGCCGGATGTCCTATCTGCTTGGCACGAACCGCATCAAGGCCACCGTGGCCGGCGAGATGGCCGCCTCGTACGCGGGCGTGCCAATCAACGTCCAGAATTCCGAATGGGCGATCCCCGAGCCGCTCCTCGACCAGGCGGCGGAGATCCTGCGGGCGGACGGATTCCCGGCCTGCCCGGCCTGCCCGCGCACTGCCGCGTGGAGCGAGATGCTGGGGCAGAGCGACAGCGAGGAGGAGGGGGAGGAGAGCGACAAGGCCTCTTCGGAGGGGAAGCGGCGCTCCCTCCGCCAGAAGAAAGTCCGGTGCGCCGTCCTGCGGCGCGACAAGCCATCGCACCGCGCCTACCCGCGGCCGGCGTATCACTTCCACACCGACCACCGCTACCCCAAGTCGGCCTGGGATCTGGAGCAGTCGCGCGGGGTCTTTCTGTATCCCATGAAGGCTGTGATCCACCCGGCCCTCCCAGACCCGCCCTGCGGCCCGGCAGCGCACGGGGACGAACCGGCCTTCCTGTGGCCGCTGTCGCAGCGCAGCCCGCGGAGCGCCCCGGGGACCTCGATCTACCGAACCACCTCGTCCAGCCATCTGCCCGCCGCGGGCGCCGGGCTGCTCGACTTCCGGGGCCGGCAGAACCCCAAGCATTACCCGGTCAACATGCTGACCCCCGTCAAAGCCGTGGAGAACCTCGTGCGGCTCATCATGCGGCACAGGGGCCAGTGGGTGAACCATTATTGGATCCGGCTCTTCACCGCGTACATGCTCTTTGCCTTTGACGTGAACCACCTCGATGGGGACCAGAGTCTCTCGGGGCGCGTCAAGTTGGAGATGGAAGGCGTCGGCGATTGGCTGGAGCTGCAGCTCGACGACAACACTAACATCGACCGGGCATTCCACGCCGTCTGGCGAGCCATCAAGAATGCCCGCGAACCCCCCCTGTTCTATCGATATGGGACTTGCAACCAGCACGCCCACTATCAGATCTGGCATCGGCAGCAGTGCAGAAGGCCATGGTAGTAGACACGTGTAGGAATGAAGTTCTGTCTTTGTTTCAAAGTTGCTTATAGATTCATGTTGGTGCCAAGTCAATCAGGGAAACCGGTAGAGGGGATTGCAGAGTGCACGAGCTTCCCATGGGGTCGTTTCGGTGGAGGACAGCAGTCTCCGAGGCTGTCTGATGGTTGAGAACAACACCGTCATAATACAGAAAGTAAGAGTCCCAAACACCTTTCAATAATACCAAGTCGCGCCGGTCGGCCGCCCAGTACCCGACTATACCAAAAGTACCAAAAATACCCTCCAAGTACCTCCAAGCGCGCAGTCCAGAGCAATGCGGGACGTATCCGCGTCTACTACCCGATACAGGAACCCCCGCCTCGGCCCGCTTCCGATCAACGAAGCCGTCTTAAATATCCCCAAATACCCAAAGATGCAACAGGTTCCAACGCAGCAACTCTCACATCAATCTCAATATCCTGTTTATCTACAGACTCACACAAGTATCAACCATGACCCTCGTACACATCGGTCCGTTCCCCCACAACCACCTTCCCAAACCGCACCCATCCTAACCCATGAACCTCCGCAGTCCTCTTCAAATTCCGCTCCGACGTGAGCGAAGAGCACAAAAACACCTTCGTCACCGAACTCAAGAAGCTCAAGAACCTCCCGTGCGTCAAGAATGGCCGGCTCATCGTCGGGGGACCCAGCGTGACGGACCCGATCGACCGCAGCAAGGGGTTCCAGATCGCGCTGGTGAGCTACCATGAGAATCTGGCGGCGTTGGCGGAGTACCAGGCGAGTCAGGAGCATCACTGGTTGGTCTTCCACTCCCGTGTCAATTCCGTGTGTGTCCAGGCTAATTTACGGGGACAGGGTGACG